AATTTACATGATTTTCCAAAGTAGGAGAAGGAGAAGCACGGTAAAACTTGATCGGTTTGAAACCAACACCCCGGACTTCCTTGACATCTAAACTCTCGATCTTTTGAGGGTAAATCGGAGTAAGAGTCATGGCATGCACGTAGTAGTTAATCCGATCATACATTGATTCATATTCACTTTTCTCGACGTCTTCCAAAGAAATTTCGAACTGTGGCTTCTTCTGTTTTATCGTCATTGCTTCTTCATCCGACTTTCCTTCGTCAGAACTTTCTTCCACATCGATGCTGATGGTCGGCTTCGTCCATTCAACAGTCGCGCTGGTTCTTCCTCGCCCGCGTCCCCGACCTCGATCTCGGGTCCATGGAGTAGAAGAACCCCTACCAACGCGCTTCGTCCATTCAACAGTCGCGCTGGTTCTCCTTATTATCTACATTTGGTTTTTATTGATTTAGAAAAAGCTTATGATAAGGTTCCAAGAGATATCCTTTGGAGAGTTCTGGAGAAGAAAGGTGTTGATATGACTTATATTCAAGTCATTAAAGATATGTATACTAGAGTTGTTACTTGTGTTCAGAAATGTGTTGATTTGACTTATATTCAAGTCATTAAAGATATGTATACTAGAGCTGTTACTTGTGTTCAAACTGAAGGAGGATTGACAAAATATTTTCCTATTTCTGTTGGTTTACATCAGGGATCGACTTTAAGCCCATATCTTTTTGCTTTAGTTATGGATGGTCTTACTGGACATCTACAAGAGGATGTACCTTGGTGTATGCTTTTTGCTGATGATATTCTTCTCGTGGATAAAACGAGAGAAAAAGCCTAGGAAAAACTTGAATTATGGAGGTCTACATTGGAGTCTAAAGGCCTTCGTTTAAGTAGAACTAAAACTGAATACATGGAATGTAATTTTAGTAGTAATAGCTTTAGTGACAGAAGTGTGACTTTGGGTGATCAAATTATTAAAAGGTGTGAATGATTTAGATATCTTGGGTCCGTTTTTCAAGCGATGGTGATATAGATGAGGATGTTAATAGTAGAATTCAAGTTGGTTGGTTGAAGTGGAGGAATGCTTCGGGCCTTTTGTGTGATAGAAAAGTACCACTTAGACTGAAAGGGAAATTTTATAAAACGGTGGTGAGACCTGCAATGCTATATGGCGCTGAATGTTGGCCTTTAAAAGAGAAGCATAATAATAAGTTAAGTGTTGCCGAGATGAGAATGATTAGGTGGATGAGTAACTTTACACTTAGAGACAAAATGCGAAATGATTATATCCGTGATAGGCTTGGTGTAACTCCTGTGACAGACAAAATTATAGAAAGTCGTCTTAGATGGTTTGGTCACATTGAACGTCGATCATCTGATGATCCGATTCGATTAGGAGAATAAGATGTTTTAGATTTGACTTGTGTTAAGAAAGAAAGAGGTAGACCTAGGAAGACTTGGGCTTATGTATTAAAAATGATCTTAATTTACTTGAACTAAATGAAAATATGACACTAAATAGGACGCAATGGAGAAAAAGGATTCATGTAGCCGACCCCACGTAGTGGGATTAAGGCTTTGTTGTTGTTGTTATATTGTTCAGTTTCACACTTATTTGTGTCATACGTACAAATGTGGCCTAGACAGTAGTGCTTAAGATACCCTGATGATTTAGTTTAGCTCCCTTATTAGGATGGCTATCATAATATACATATGTGATGATCCATGCAACTAAGTAGAGCCATTGTATTTGTATCTATTGTAATACTAGCTGATCACTGTCTTCCTTTACCATTCTTATTATCTTTAACTTTGATGTGCAGCTTGAACGTTATGAAGAGGCACGAGAAGCTGTACTTACTGCCCTTCAAATTGACCCTCTGAGGTTTGAACTTAAGTCTCTTTTATGTTGTATTCATAGTTATTTGATCTTGTTTTATAGGATGCTTGTGCCTAAAGTTCTGAAGAACTTTGAATTTTGATGTGACTTGATGAAGATAGTGTGGAAATTTTTTTTTTGAGTTGCAGCCATCATGCCAAGGATTGTCTTCTGAGTTTGGATAAGTTCATGTCTGGTTCAGCTAAGAGGGTTAAACAGTGGAAACCACAGCGAACCGATGATTTTGAATGCACATTATGCCTAAAGCTATTGTTTGAACCGGTCACTACTCCTTGTGGGCATTCTTTTTGCCGCTCATGTGTACTTCAGACTATGGATCATGGTAAGCTTAGGACTTCTAGCCTCCTATATGGGAAAATTCTGTTTGAGTCTAATGTGGGAAAACTCTGTCTTTATTACTTAGTGGAAGTATGTTTTATGAACTGACAGGTAACAAGTGTCCCATGTGCCGCATGGTCCTATTTATCAGCCCCAGAACGTATCCTATTAGGTATAGTATCCTCTTTCTGCCAGGTTATCAGTTTTATCTTTGAATTTTCTAATTTTTGTGACACATTTAAGTTTGTATTTATTTATTTCCCTATTACTGTGGTCATTGCCATTGTTTAGTTTCTGATTCCTGTGTATTTTCTTCAGTGTGACTCTGAATAATATTATACAGAAAAACTTTCCTGAGGAATATGCTGAGAGGAAGTTGGAGCATGAGAATCTAACATATGGGGGGACAGACACATTGCCTCTTTTTGTTATGGACGTTGTTCTTCCATGCCAGAAGTTGTCACTTAATATATTTGAGCCACGCTATAGACTGATGGTGAGGCTAAATTAGCTCATGCACTATTCTCTAAAATTGTAAGATTGATTAGGAAGATTTGCTGTTTTTGGTATTTGTTTTTTTTTTTGTCTTTGTGGCTTTTCTTTTTCAGGGTTAATTTTTTATTTTTAATTTGTCATTATTGTTTGATTTCATTATGGAATGCAGATTCAATTAGTCAATCTGCATTCAATGTCCATACTTCACTTTTATGAAGTTCATACAAGTTCTGGACAAAAATAGATAGTTTTTAATTCATTCCTTGCACTTATTTGAAATGCCACTTAGCTAAGAAATTGATATCTCAAGCTATTTCTAGCTGTCCTTTTGTTTTCTCTTTCAAAAAAAATAACAACAACAAGCTTTTATCCTGCTAAGTGGGGGTCGGGTACATGAACTTTAGTTTCTCTTTGTTTTTTTTTTTGGGTGCATTTTTGTTCTAGATACAATAAACACATGGAAGAAACTAAAATTTGGCTTCATGGTGATCCGAATGTCTTGTTTATATATTTTATTCAAATCGTAGGTGATTATTTTGTCTCGTGTGTGATGCAGAGATTGTATGATTGGCATAATATCAATTGCACACTATAGAGTATCTTGTTGAAAGTTTAGAGTTTAGTTTCCTCAATTCCTTAAATTCAAGGATCAATTATTTCAGGTTTTTGAGTTAAGTGGTCATTTTTTTTAGACATAAATTTCTCCAAATCTAATTTTAGATGGTCAAAACATATTCATCAGAATTTGGCACTATTCTTAAGGCTTCCACCAACTTAGTTTTTATTAGCTCGTGCTCAATATTATTCAAGTAAAGCTGGGAAATTTCTTCTTTGTTTTGTCTTGCACTTTTCGGATAACCTCCAATAATTTGACAGAGTAATAATCTTCTTGAAACGGTTTTGACAATACATGACATATTTGTTGGGTTCATAGATAGCAATGCATGATGAGGAATGAGATGGCTTCCTTAGGTTTTTGCAAATGATACTAACAGAGCAACTAGGCCCTCAAAATGTTGACAACGGAATAAAAAAGCCAACTATAGTAGCCAACTGGTGATTGTGGTTGTTGGCAAGACGAAAGAGAAGAGGAAGATGTGGCTTGGTTATTGAAACATCAAAGCTACTATGGCATATATAAATTTGGCTTCGTGGCAATATGTATATCTGTTCATAGATATTATTCAGATCATTGGTGAGAACATTCTCTCATGTATGATGCAAAGATTGTAGGATTGACATTATATTAATTGCATACTTTAGGATGGTTTGTTCGAACTTTTGAGTTTACTACAGGTTTTTTGAATCAAGCCGGTCACCTTTTTTAGCCCCAAGGATCAACAAATCTTATCAAATCTGTTTTTTAGATGGTAGCATATCCATCAGAATTTGTTGCTATGTCTAAAGTTTCCATGAACTTACTGAGCTTATTTAAGCTTATGCAAACTTTCATTTGGAATTATTAAAGCAAAGTTAAGAAATTTATAACTTGTTTTGCCTTCTCTCCCGATCCCGAAAGTTAATCCTTGAAGACATTATTTGGAATCTAAATTGGGCTTTCCTTGGTGGCATTCCTTGGATGATTGCCACTTTCTTCTTGACTCCACAAGAAAATTATGTGCATGTTTTCTAAAGAACTATAGATCAAACAATTGAAGAGAGTGTGATATTTTAGAGAGTTCTACATTGCTTCCAGGGTAAGCATATAGTTGATTAATCGTAAACACCACATGAGAATAAAATTGCTGAGCTTATGAATAGAAAATTGAATAAAAGAGCCAAAATAATAATAATACATGATGGGTTGTCTACTTTCTTATGGGCTAACACAATAACATTAGTGCTTATCTTGTCAATAAAGGACTTTCAATTGCTCTATATTAAATCTTAAAGAAATGTGGATTGACAATGAGGCAAACCCTTCGCTTGAAAAGATTTTTATTTCTCTTTCATTTTCATGTTAATTCTGTTAAGAATGGATTGTTAAAAATTTTTTAATGTTATTTCATTGGATATTATATTTGTGAAAATCTTGGAGGATTGGTCTCCTTTCCGTGGTGGGCTCAGGCTGACCTTCCAGAATGGATTAATTGGAGGCAATTTGGAAAATTCTTTAATTAGTTTTTATTCTCTTTCTATTTATGTTTATTTCAGAATTGTTTCCATATTTAGGCTAGATATATTTGGTAACATTGTAAATTAAGAGAAACCGGTTTTCCTATATATGTAGCCTAATGGTTGAATTCCCTCCCACAATTTTTTTCTTGGTGATATAAGAGCAAAGAAACAAACCTTAGCTCTCCTTCAGCCTATAGGCCCTCCTCTGCTCGCTTCAATAGTCATCAGAGCCTCTCCAACAGTCGTCCAGTAGCCAATACTCGCTGCAGCCACCAGTATCCCTTCAGCCAACCTGCAAGCCCTCCTTTGCTCGTTATCATGACCATTGGACTCCTTATGCAGATACTGTTTTCCACTCCTACAATAAGCAGCAGCCAAATTCCTAATCCAGCCCTAAACATGCATAGGGTTTATGATCAATTACGGAATGAACGCATCTAGTTCTAGTTTGGAGGGCAGTTCTGCATAAAAAATCTGGAATTCTGTCAGCCAAACTCACTTCCTTTATCATAAACCATAAATTTAATGGTCATAACTACTTTCAATGGTCCCCATTTTTGTTTATGTATATTTTTGAAAAAGAAAAAGTGGAACATCTCACAAGATAGGACACAGTTCCAGAGCTCACTGAGGATAATTATCGTATATTGAAGATTCAAGACCATATGATTATGTCTTGACTAGTCAACTCAATGACCACTAAAATACGAGAAAATTTCTTACTCTACAAAACAGTTAAAGAAATATGGGAGGTTGTAAGAGAGACTTATTTGAACATTGAGAGTACTTCAGAGTTGATTGAGATCAAAACAAAACTACATGTTCTTCGTCGAGAAGAGTAAGTGCACCATATATTTAAATACCTTGACAAAGTATTAGCTACAATTTGATATTTTTGAGACTTGTGGAAATATCCCCATGATGTCGTGATGTATCGATCCATTTTCGAGAAGAACAAAACTATTAAATTCTTAGTGGGAATATAACTAAGGCATTGGATGGAGTGAGAGGGAGGATCATGGGAATAAAACCTCCTCTATCTACCCGTGAAGCTTTTTCTGAAGTTAGAAGGAGAGTAGAAAGAAGCTTATGATGATCAGAAATGAGAGTTCATCTAGCTTGAAAGCTCAACTCTGCACTCCCATAATTCTTCATGAATCAATGTTTAATAAGAATCGTCCCACATGTGACTGTTGCAAGAAAATTAGGCTCCTCAATGACAAATGTTTGGAACTCCATGGAAAGTCTGCAGATTGATTACCTGGACATGGAAGGAAAGATCAAGAGAGCGAGGCCAATGTTGCAATCACATCTAAAAGGTCAAGTGGCTTATTAACCAAGGAACTGCTTGAAGTACTAAAAAAACTCCTTTGGTGTAATTCATAACATTACACGAGTCTCATGACACACCAATGTAATATATACTTCTTCCATGTATTTAGAAGCTTTTGATCATATTACTGGAAACATCAAGGCTCTAGTTAATTATCAAGAGACTTCTACTTCTAGATCCATTAGACTTGTCGGTAGATCACACTAAAAAAATGCTGGAAAAGAAGATGTGAACCTCTCTTGGGATGTTACTTTTTCCTCTGCTTTATATTTTGCAATTGGACTGTAATTTAATTTCAATCAACAAGTCTACTCATGATATGAAATGTATAACTAAATATCTTGCAAACTCTTTATGAATTTTAGGTGGTGAGTATGGGGAGGTGATTGACAATGTTGAAATGTATCAAGACTTAGAACTACTCTAGTAAAGTCTCTCTAAACGCACAAGTGGTCTCTCATTCATCTGTCTCTGAGCTTGTTGAGCTGTCTGTTGAAAAAAAAGTCATGTTATAACATTGTTGCCTCAGTAATTTCAATTTCAATTATGTTGCAAACTTGTATTCTCATTTATCTATAAATAAAATTCTTAATATTTATAAATGTGAGATTTATTAACTTGCCAAACACACTGGAATGTTTATCCCATGACCTAGTACAAACACTCACATCATTTTTCTATTATTCATGGTAATATTTTACGACCTGTAAAAGTAAGAATCCTAAGTGGAGCTAGATGGTTTGTCTCATTCATTGACGATCACACTATCACTTCTTATTCCTAATGGAGAAATTTGAAATAATTCAAATATTCTAAACCTTTCATATGACATGATTCAAACTCAATTCTAATGCAAAATTTAGATCCTCAAAATTGATAATACGAAGGAATATTTCAACTTCATTCTTGGAACACACATTTTAAATTATTAAATCTTCCATATGAGTTCATGTATTGATACCTTACAACAAAATGTGATGGCCGAGAGAAGAACATGCATGTTCTTGAGGTATTTTGATCAATTATGATTTCTCATCAAGTTCCAAAATATTTTTGGGGGAAAATAGTTCTTGTAATAATATATCTTATTAATTGAATGCTTAGTTGGATACTTAATTTCAAAACACTACTTCATATCTTGATGCATATTTATCTTCACATTAGAGTTTTCAATTCTATCGCACTACTTAAAATTTTTAGGTTTGTATCTTTTGTTCGCATCCACCCCCAAATCGCACAGAACTTGACCCTAAATTCATCAAGTGTATTTTTTTTGGGCAAGCCTCCAATAAAAAGGACTATAAGTATTACTTACCAATTACTATAAAATATCACTACTCCATGGATGTCACGTTTATTGAAAATCAATCTTACTATCTCAAATCCGACGTTCAAGGGAAGAGTGCAAAAGGACATCAATTTTGGGATGCTCTTAATAACACTTACATTGCCTCTCAACTTACCACTCTTCCACCTAGCTCTTCTATCTCCCAAACACCACCGCATGGCCTACTTGAGAATGTCCAACCAATCCTACATGAAATTCATAA